TGAGAGTAGCCTACAATGCCGGTGTCTGTTTCTATAAAGTGGGGCAGTTCCAACTTCGCAAGGACAGTCTGGCGCTTCTGACTCACAGCCTGTAAGTAAAAGAATAAGTTCTTCTGTTAAAGAATTTGCCACTGACGATTCAAACGCGAGTTTTGAGCAGTGTAGAGTAGCGCTTGTTGTTTGTCGTTTCTCCGATCACAAATGCAGACATGGTTTTATGTTTACGCGGCGCGATACGCAACGCAACGCGTAAAAAGACAGTATAAGTCATTATAATCCGTAATTATGTCCCCACTGGATGCAACAAATGCCTCGTTTGTAATGGGTTTTTATTGTTTTTGTCTCGTCGCTCCGGCCGGGACACCGGGCATCACAGTATGTTAAGGGGCGTAACATTTCCGTCACACGCTTGAGGTATTCGGCCAATCACAACACACTGGATAGCTGGCCAATCAGAGCACACCTCGCTTTTCAGACCGATGAGCTTTTGACGCGTTTCAGAAAGGCGGGGCATAGAGGAGAAACAATAATGTACAGTATGTGTAAAATAATGTGTTTTTTTAACCTTAAACCGCATAAACACATTGCATTAAACCAAATACACAAAATAATGTTCTTTTTAGCAACGTCATATGACCCCTTTAACATTTCCTGCGGTGAGATCAAACACGTCTATCTATTCAGCCAAGAAGCAGTGTGACCTTTATTAACACCGAATGAAGAGTGCTCAACCAAGCCCCTGGGAAACAGCCTTTTAAAGAGCCTTAAACTTGTCAAACGTCTGCTGATTTGGAGAGCAGGAGGATCTGCTGCGTTTGTTTGGATCTAGATTAAGAAACGCCCCCATAGGGCTGACACACCAGGGTTCACTGTACACTTACTTCCTGGCAAGCAATCGCCTCCTGTCAGAATGAGTGATTTCAGCTTCGAGTTTCTCAGCTGAGCTTACACGGACAACAACCCACAGGACAGATTGTGGATCACTATCAGGAAGATGTGCTTTAATCTTGTGTCCTGCACATCTTGCACAGTCCTGTGACAATAATGAACGGTCTTCCTACAAGGGTCTTTCAGTAATTGTTTTTTTTTTTTTGGTCATGTTCTCTGTGCTTATCTCAATTTTACAAATAAGGTCATAATTTAAAGGTGATGTGTGGCTTGGATTGTTTCACAATGTGAAATCAATGAACCTGGACTGTGACAGTGACACTGTGACATCAGAACCTGGACTGAAAACTCTCTATTATATTGTTATACTGATAAAAGACATGCTGAGTTAGAATAAAAGCTAAACATAAAATAATTGGGGACAATAAATAAATGCTAATATTCATTTTATTTATAATTACTTTTTTTTTGTTTTACAATAAAAAAAAATCTGAGTATCCTTAAAATAAGATAATTTTAATACAAACTTAAGATAATAAGATTTAATTATACTGAACAAAATTATAAACGCAACACTTTTCTTTACCTGTACAATAATCATGCTGTCTAATCAGCATCTTGATATGCCACACCTGTGAGGTGGATGGATTATCTCGGCAAAGGAGAAGTGCTCACTAACACAGATTTAGACAAATTTGTGAACAATATTTGAGAGAAATAGGCCTTTTGTGTACATAGAAAAAGTCTTAGATCTTTGAGTTTAGCTCATGAAAAATGGGGGCAAAAACAAAAGTGTTGCGTTTATAAATTTGTTCAGTGTATTTAAAAACAAGTAAAACCTACATTTGGCTAATAAACGTATGGAAATAAATACATAAATGTAAATAAAAAATAAATAAAAACTAAATAAATAATAAATTCTTTTTTTTTCTCAGTCTGCCTGTCAGGGATTTTTAGTGACCCTTTTTGCATGTTACATTGCAACATTATTATTGTGAGAGACAGTTTGCACACTAGTGGTGCACAAACAGACAAAGCAACCAGCAGTTCAGTTACTCAGTACTAACGTGTTCAGAACAACAGCACTCTTACTTATGTGAAATTGCTTAATGATTTTACTGATTAATTCATTGCTGTTACATATAAAGTCATTAGTGGTGTATCAGTGTCTCTATATAATGTCATTCTTCCAGCATTCTGATGGGCTTGACTTTGAACCTCACACAAATCCCATCTGCACTGTGATCAATCACTCATCCATCCCATTAGCCTCCCATAATGCTTCTCTTCCACTTTTACAGCCGTTTACTGGAGGGAAGGATTGATTTCATGTTTTTAGAGGTATATGTTTGTTCCACCAATGTTTATTCATTGATTACTGTTGAGCATAGCAACTCTACACTTACACATGGCAAACTATACGGTGTTCTTTAATAAGCATGTTTTAACTTAATTTACATTCAGATTTAACTGAATTGTGGTTCTCAGTCTTTTTGACTTGAAGGCTACCCTGTTTTGTTTTTTTGTTGAATTATGACAAAGCTGCTTTTTCATGAACATAAATCAGAATATTTATATATTAAATTAATTAACCATTATTTTGAGATTACAGACATTTTAAGAACGGCATGTTCTTCAATAAAAAAAGCATTAGTTATTGTGGGGAAAAATAAATATGATTTGAGTTTACATCTGGATTGTGTATGTGTGTGTGTGTGTTTTGCATTTCAATGGAGAGTTAGATCATTTTTTTTTACATATGAAGAATAATTTATTAATTTAAATGTAATTATTTAAATCACCCTGCGGTCCCCTTGGAAGTAAAAAAAAGGACATGACCAGTGAACCAGTGCAATCAAAGACAGAATTTGATGCCGAAAAGCTAACAAGGTCAAAGTCAACGCAGCTATTTCCCTTTTGGCGTGACTGTAAAGATCAACACTGTCAAAGCATTCAAAGCAATTGCATAATTCATGCTGTACAAATAAATAGAAAAAAAAAAAAACTGCAGTATAGTAGCCTACATAAAATACAGTGAAACATACGAAATGGTACTTTGGCCTAAATGGTCTGGGACTAATTGTCACAAGGTCTGTTGGCCAAAACACACATTATGTATATACATCTATGTACACATGGCTAAAACTTGCTTTTAATGTTTTTGTGTTAATTTTCCATTTAAGGATTTATATTGTGTAAAGTAATTTGTTTGCTGAGGTTTTAATTTTGTTTAAAATAAGGTGTTTCATGTTAAACCATTTTCAGTGGCCACATTCACACAGCAGCAGCAGTTAATACGGTTGCCAGTCTTGTATTTGAGTGCGTAATACGGCTACGTTCACACACACACACACACAGCTACAAAAGTGACAACCGCATACTACTAGCCTATAATCAAAATAATGTTCGTGTGTGTTTCTTTTAGTACGTTAACTTACAGAGGCGGGGATCATGTATAAATTGCGTGTCATCTGAAGGTTTAGGTTTTCCACCGGAACCGCTTCCGTCAGTTTTGTGGTCCGCGCCTCGGTTGGACATCGTCGTGACTGTGAAAAGACTTTCCAATAACGATTTTATATTGACTTCACTTTCTATCACTATGCTCGGAAAAATTCATTTAAAAATTCAGTAAAGTCATGTGACCAGTATTTTCTGCCAGCTGTTTGTAATTGGAACTAACGATGCCCTATTTTGATTGAATCATTCCTTTTAATCAGTTCTTTTAAATGAATCGGTCATACGGGTCAGCAAAACGGTTTGAATTGATTTGCGATTCAGTCTGAATGATTCGGAGCGATTTTTTTTTAACTTAAACACATTGAATACACATTAAGTAATCTATCAATCGTTAGATTAGAACACAGAGGACAAAATATAACTGAACTGCAGTACATTTTTAACCTGCAATGCATTGGAACCAAACTAAAAATGCGTTGTAGTGAAGCTTGTGAGTGACACTGGTTGCAAAACAACTAACAGGAAGGATATTAAACTTACTAAAAATTAGACTTCCATGGTATTTTTTCAACTTTCAGAAATACACTTACCCTGAAAAATGATTAAACTGGAGTAACAAGTGTGAAAACCAACCCATCTTGCCTAAACAGATGTGCTTTCACAAATATTGCACATTGACATTAATGCAAATACAGGTGCATCTCAATATCTGTTAACATGCTTGGATACAGCACTCTGTGAACAGCCAGTTTCTTTGGCAATGAATGTTTGTGGCTTACCCTCCTTGTGAAGGGTGTCAATGATTGTCTTCTGGACAACTGTCAGATCAGCAGTCTTCCCCATGATTGTGTAGCCTAGTGAACCAAACTGAGAGACCATTTTGAAGGCTCAGGAAACCTTTGCAGGTGTTTTGAGTTGATTAGCTGATTGGCATGTCACCATATTCTAATTTGTTGAGATAGTGAATTGGTGGGTTTTTGTTAAATGTGAGCCAAAATCATCACAATTAAAAGAACCAAAGACTTAAACTACTTCAGTCTGTGTGCACTGAATTTATTTAATACATGAGTTTCACAATTTGAGTTGAATTACTAAAATAAATGAACTTTTCCACGACATTCTAATTTATTGAGATGCACCTGTATATTAATACATAAATCTATTAATACAAATGGAAAGAAATGCATAACTCTTGAGGAAGAAAGATGAAAAATCTGTGTGACTCATAAAAAATGCCTCTCCAGTTAAACAATTTACCAAATTCAAAAAAAAAAAAGTATCTTTATTCAAATACAAAATTACAAAGCTTTTATTTTTTTTTTCTGAGGACATAAACAGCATGGGAAACAAACAGTGTCTAGGGCTGAATCTCATATCCAAGAGGATCCAGCCCTTTATCCAGCAAGAGTAGAGAGGATTCCCTCATCTTCTGGAGAAACTTCTGCAGCTCCTCTTTAGAAAAAACCTGACAGAGAAAGAACATTCAGATGAATGAATTTAAAAACAAGACAGTATCATATTTACCATGAGCACTTATGTTCAGGAGTGGCCTCTTGCAATTTCAGTCAAGCAATATTCATGTTTATATTAACAATAATTCTAGACATCACACCTCATATAATCTGTGTTGGTCAGAGGCGATGATGTCAGCCAGCCGCAGACTCTCCTGGTGGTGTTCAGTGCGCTGCAGAACGGTTAACAAAAGGAACGACATCATGGGCAGACACAAACGCCGCAGCAGAGTCATCTGATGAGCACGCTCAGAGTCTTCCTCAGCGTCCTGCAAAAACACAGCACACCATGAATACAGGACATCCTACACTCACACAATGCACCCAAGTGATGTTATAACAACTCAGTGACTTTCTGACATGGTGTTGGATGTTGCACAATCAAAAACTGTGTCCGTCTTCATTTCAGCATGCAAAACAACAAAATGTGATTATTTAAAGGGGGTGATTCTTTTCTATACCCACTGTGTGTGTGTGTATATATTTAAGGTTATAAACGACCTCAGACATGACAGCTGTGTTTGCCAAACCTGTAAATTAATACAGAACCTACTCACCTCTCTGACATCCACCATCCAACCTCCATCTACAAACAGCAGCACATTATAAATCCTCTCCTTCACATCCTCTGTCAGCGCTCCCAGACGCCCCTGCCAGTTCTCATACTCCATCTGGAGGAAGTGACAAAGAAAAGCCATTAAAGATAAAAGCTAGAAGTGTTCACTACAGAGTACCAGTCGGCACTGTGTGGATGGTCTGTTCTGACCTTGTACTCTGCTTCTTTCATCTCATAGGCCACCTTCTCTGTAAACTTAGCTTGAGCAGGTGCTGTGGGTTTCACCGGAGGACAGTTCATGTGCTTGAACCACTCGTTAAAAGCTTCGTGAGCTTCCTGTTGGGGTGGGGAAACACAAATCGGCTCACAGTAAGATCATGTTGCTGTCACTACGTTCATTACAGAGATGCAGAAAGATGCAGCTCCTCACCAGATAGGCACGGATGCACAGATGCTCACGAATAGCATTCTCCTCCTCGGCAGGAAGGGGCGTGTCCATGCCCTGCTCCTCCCAATGGTGGTAGATTTCCCGCATGGAATCTTCAGGCACTTTGTTGAAGACCATCTTAGCAGCGTCATGCTTCTTAGATGCTACGACGAATATATAACTTTATAAACATGTATTTTAGTTCCCTTCACTCCACAACAATTCAAAACCGTACAGACCAAGAATAGAAAGTGTTAAGTATTTCATTAGCATAAATAACACCACCCTGCATCATATTTGCTGAATGAAATCCAATACTTGTTTCTTACTAATTTTAGGGAGCTGATAAAAACAGCCCGTTTTGCACTCGCATTTTTGCTTTCGACAACCATTTGTACGGTGAAGTCTTGTATTATCCCTTAATCACCAAAAAAATGCCACAAAGAAATGATTCCTATCCTCTTCTGAGTCATGTTACAACTATGTTGTCTCACATGTATGAAAGATCCTGAAGACATTAATTTATGTCTAATCTGATGTCACCGTTAGAATTATGGTCAGTGACAGAGGAAAATGCAAACATGACTCAGATGTTGTCTGCTACACCTGTAAGTGTTTTGCTACATCTAAACAGCAACAGAAAATTACAGGCTGTCAAAAAAACTTATTTATAAACTTGTGTTGAGTTGTGACATCTTTGAGATTAAACTGAGTATTTGAACATATTTTCTATTCCTTTCAGACTGTAAGTTAAATTATACATTTTGAAGACTTGTTTTTTTTCATTAAAACAAACTTCTGACATTTGACTGCTTTTGTTACTTTGATAAGTGCAATAAAGCTGACACACACACACACACACACACACAGATATTATATATATATATATATATATATATGCATGTATGTATATGGGTAGTTCACAAATATAACGTAAATGTGACAGCAAAAATGTAGAAAAAAAAAAAAGAATAACAATGAAGAAAAATCTCTCTTATGCTATTTGTATATTATTAACAAGAAATTAATTATTAATAATGATTAGTTATTGTTTTCTAAATTTTGATGTTACACCATAGGACACATGTACAGTATATATGTCAACAACCATATATATACATACACATACATACATATATATATATATATATATATTAGGGCTGTCAATTTAACGTGTTAATTGAATTAATTAGTTATGGAAAAATAACGCGATTAAAATATTTTGACACAGTTAACGCACCTGCCCCACCCCAGGCCTGTACGTCATCTTGCATTTCATACAGTTGACAAACATGATGCAGTGCAAAAACTTACTGTGTGATGTAGTCCATAAATGCAGTTATGTGCCCCTAAAATTCAAGATATTGGGGAAAAAAATGCTCCTGTATTTGTTTTTGTCTCATTTATATCATATGATAAGTGATATCACATGATCAGCGAGAGCAATATCACACGGGTGCTGTTTTTGTCCCGAATAGCACGAGTGCAAATGTAATTTTAAACAACAGTTCTGTAGATAAGAAGTTAATATTGTGTTATATTTTACACACAACATTGTCTGTTTTTGCTCAATTTTGCCAACGAAACCATTACCTATAAAGCCACAGCAGAACTGTTGTGAGTCTCCAAGCAACACAACTGTTCAATTCAATTCATGTTTATTTGTATAGCGCCTTTTACGATACAAATCGTTGCAAAGCAGCTGTACAATATATGTTTCTACAATATATTTAGTAGTAGCTTATCAGTGTCAGTAAATGTACATATGGCACAAATGTACGGAAAAATCAATTAAAGATGTAATCAAACACACTATGAACACTATTAACAGCAATTATTATATGTTGCAATCAAACTTATAGCTGTAATCAAACAGACGATGAACACTATTAACAGCAATTATTATATGTTGCAATCAAACTTATAGCGAAATTTGGTAGTTCTGTGATTCAGAAACTGTGATTCGTTTCTGAATGAATCCACGTTTTGAACAAATCGTGTGAACCAATGATTCAACAGACCATTCATAAAAGAGCCATTTACTTCATTCCTGAATGAATCAGCCATTTGAAAGAATCAAATAAATGAATGACTCAATGACTTCATAAAGACATTTACCACCACCTACTGACGGTTTTAGTTTCTTATTTAGAGAATAATTCAACTTAAAAGAAAGTATTTTAAAGACTGTTGGTAACAAAGCTGAGTTGGTTACCAATGGCTTTCATTGTATGAACAAAAAATACTGAGATGTTTCACAAATTATCTTGTTTTATGTTCCATAGTTTATGTTAGGCCGTTGTAGCCTAAATATTTTTGTGTAATACATTTTATGTTAAATCAAATAAAGTATTTATTTCTAAAGCTAATTGTTGTAATGTCTACTTGATACTTTCTCATATAACACAATAGTGGCTTTAAATGATCTTTTGTGGGTATTTTCACACCAAATATAATTTGCGAATAATTAGATTATTTGCTACATCATGTAATTAATTAGATAAAAAATTTGAGCTGTGTTATAGTGGCATTCATTATAAACCACATTTTTTACAAACTGAAATCAATAATGAAATCAAAATAGAAAATGATCAATTACAGCTCAATTACATCTTAATAAAATAATCTAGCTGCAAAAGTCTCACCTAAGAACTTCCTCATGATGGCATTGCTCTGCTTAAGGGCTTCAGCTCTCTGAGCGGGATCAAACACCAGCCAGTCAATGACATCAATCTTCTGCTGATCCTCCTGTTTGAATAGATGAAGAGTTTTGTATTAATTCTATTGCTAATTGGATCTAGTTTTATAAATTAACACAGTTCATTCCATTTGTACCACTGTAGTTGCCGTATCCAGTGCAGGGGTCAGGTCATGGTGAGCAAACTCATCGGTGTCTCTCTCTCTGATGGTCTCTACTACTGTTTTTGTGATCGCTGCCACATCCAAACCTAAACACCAAAAAAAAGAAAGAAAAAAGTACAAAGTCTGTAATAACATTATAATTAACATGTAATGTTCAGTGAGTCATTATCGCAAAATACACCCTTTCCATTGTGACACAAGACCCTTTGACCTCACCTGCTTGTGTTGCCAGCTCCAGACAGTGTTTGCGCTGCTCAGTCTCAGTGACTTCCTCCAGGAACTGAGCGTACTGTGGCACGGACATGTCAACAGGGAGGTGACTGACGTAAAATGCAATGAGATCCACCTGCTTTTCCTTCACTAACAGGGAGATGTAGGCCTTTAGGACATCTACACACACCTCCTCCTGACAAACACAGATCACAATGGTAGGTTTGCATCAAACGTTTGAATAAACTTGTCTGTACAAGCAATAAGCCAGACACATCAAGAGCAATACAATCTACAACAAAAAATATATCTATAATGTACGTACCTTGAGTTGCAGGCCCAAACTGCGATAAAACAACACTAAATGTGACATGAAGCGCAACAGATGAGCTGGCAAAGCTGTACTTCTTCCTAACCAATCACTAAACTCCTCCAGAAGACCTTTCAACACAAGTTAAACATTAAACTTATTTACTTTTTAAAAAGAAAATCTGAGATTCTTCCAAATATCTGTTCTCAAAGCATACCATCAAGATCTTCAAGAATGACAAACTTCTGAATCACATGGTAATGTTCCTTGGTTGCATCCAGAACCCTCTGTCAACATAACATACGTGTGAAAAGATCAGAAAATAAACACTTCAATCAATTTAGTCTTTTACAAATGAAACCTCATTCATTCATTCTCACTTTGGATTCTGTTGCTTGAAGCTCTTCAAAGACTTTCTCCAATGTCCAACTAAAAAAAGGCAAATGATGGAATTAATCTTTCACTGGAAAAGGACATGAAGAACGTATACATGATGTATTTACAGGGTGTTTATAGTCATACTTGGTCTCCAGGAACTCTCTGGGCAGCTCCTCCAGCTCTTCACTGCCCAGACCGGAAGAACAGATCTCCTGTTCTACCAGAGTGTCCACCATCACCCGGAAATATGCCCACACCGTGTCCTCCCACGACTCGCACACGGGTAACAGCTGCAGGAAATGAGGACATATTCATATAATGACTAAAAACAAGAGGAATGAAAAAAGCATAAGAACAGGGTATATACAGGAATCATGGAGTTAAATGTAATACCTTTTAAGACCTTTTTTAAGACTCTTTCCATACATTTTAAGACCTCATCGCCACTCCAAGTTTTAACCGGTTACAT